CGTCATTCTCCCGCTTCAAACCGCGAACAGGAGAAATGGGAGGGAGAGAAGGGAAAAAAGCGTACACAGCGACTCGAAAAAAAGAGAAGCCGGAACTTTAGTTGACGCTTTAACAATGCTGATGGAAAAATTGTTGGCGCCTCCATGCCAAGCTAACGAGGTATACCATTTCATATTGCAAATCATGCAGGCGTAATGAACGCACTACCATTTAGTTACAATGGCACACTATAGAAGAAAGGCCAAGTGTTGAGCGCGGTGAGACCGCCAATGCATTCAGGCAGCAAATACGTACATAAAATTCAATTAACATCGTAATTAATTTTGCCTGATTTCACTCATTTCATTCGGATTTTCCCATTGCACTGATTAAATCCACTCTCTTATTATTCACTTAATGTGAATTGCCGTTTCGCGCTCGCGCTCGCGCGTGCACGCTTTCCATTCGACAGATATTATCTAATACTCCTGCATTATACACACATCTAGCGATAACAATGAAAACAAATAATGTAATAAGCCAAACCGATATGAATTGTGAACTTGTCGCCACATTTAATTGATTACAATTCGCTTTTTTCCCTGTACACACGGTTCAACATGTGTTTTTGTATGTTCGACGAGGCTCAGTGATAGGGAAAAAAGATTATGTTCTGTGACAGCTAAACATGGTTTTATCATGTAAGCTATCTCTCACATTTCATTCACTTTTTTACATTAAAACGCAACACAATTAACCACATGATTGACGCTGATACGAATGGCAACGATAAAATCGATGCAAAATCTTTTTTTAGCCTTTACAATGGAGAAATTTCTGTGGAATTATTCATTCACACATTTTCTCTCTAAATCTTGAAAACGTGAAATACCTTTGCGCTGATTGGAGCACGTACATTTTATTTGAATCTTATTGGCGAAATATTGTAGTATTAAACATAAAACTTTTGAAAAATCGTATTAATTTACTGTATAATCATTTCAAATTATGTTTTCAATGGACCAAATTGATAAATTTGTTTCGCACTTCAATGAAACAATCGAATGGTGACATCCTCGTCTAATACCATTGATTTTACATGTAAAACAACAACAAGAAACGACAAAAGTGACCTCTCGTAGCGGCACAATTGAAACGAACGAAACAAACACAATTGAACATGTCATTTTCATGTTCAGTGTTGGTTCTGTTGTTTGCCGTATAGCCGGAGAGAGATGTCTACAGCTTAGTGGCGTTGAATGAGATTCAACACCCATGAATGGTGACCTGTGATGTAGTCAATTGAAGATACATTTTCGATAATATCGCATAAAATATCGCTCAATTTCCGATTCGTTCGAGTAAATTTAACCATATAATGTAATTGCAGTCGCGCTTCGAAGTTTTCATGTAGACGGTCCAACACAGACAAAAATCGCTAAAAAAAAGTGTAAATTGTTCTTCGATTCTAAAACAGTATTTTGTGAACAGATAATATTTTTGTGGGACACTTCTACGACCTTTTTGTTCGGGGCATTTCATTTTATCGAAAAATTACATTGCATTATTCCGTTCACCCATTCATTTAATCGTCTCATATGTGACCACAAATATTGAACCAGCGGCAATGAGACATGATGAGACATCACCGCATTAAAACAATCGCTTCCCATTCTCATTTGTATTGTTCACCAAATTCGACCAAGTTATTTTATTGAGTCAAACGATGTGGCGAATAAATTACGAGTGACTAGATTGTTAGAGTTTTTTGCGGTTAAAATCAATTAAGTCGCTAAAAAGCTTTCAGTTCAATTAATTTCAACGAGCATCAGATTTATTGTTTCATTTGAAGTCATTTGCGGTTTTTTTCAGGTATGCCCGATATTTGATTTCATCACATCATCATGGTTCAGCTGGTTAAGTTGTTGCATGTCTTTGCATAGATTTTTAACATAAAATATTGCGGATTCACTATGCGACTTCACATATGTAGATTTCCTGGATAAGTGACTGTTTTCTTTAGTTTTTTTTTACATAAAAAAACCACCACGACTGCACTTGTGGACGAATGACGGAATACTGACTTTACCAAATTTTTTTGAAGACATACGACGTCAATGCATCTCTTTAAGGCGTGTTTAAAGAGACATCACATGGTTCGATAAACCAAACCAGTGTGATGTTATTTGAAGTGGCCAGATCAGCGCCAATTATATTCATTCATAATAACTGCCAACGTTTTCTTTAGATTATTTCTCCATGGAAACAGATTGGTTTACAAACTGTTGCCTTCAGTCAATTTTAATTGAAATATGAGCAATATAAAGATTTGGTGTTTTTTTTTCTTCAAATAATATTTTTTGTTTTAATGTCAACACTTTGATGTATTCCGAGAAATGTTTCTGAACGTACATATTTGAAAGTGCTCTTCAAATTAGGAAAGGCACTCGTGAGTCGTCAAAGGGCGCTCTGCGCCATTTCTTGAACCCGTTGTTACCTGCCTGGCCCTGAGTAGTACTTACATTTGTCAAGAAGACATTTGCCAAATTGTCCAAACCTTCTGCATTCCCCTTCACATGCCGCCAAACTGCACTTAACCGCTATAAAATTCGAAATGCTAGAATTTCCGGAAGTTTTTTTCATCTAGAATCAAGTTCATATCGAATTGGTGAATTATGAATGGGTGCATTTCTGATTTCAATTATATTCCCGCCTTCATTAATCACTACATTTATTTAATTAAAATCTCAACCATGTATAAAGCATAATAGAGCGTGTATAATCAGCTGCAATATGAATGTGGCTGTGCTGTTAATCCAAAATAGTCCTGTACATGATAATTAATTCGAATTGGTAAAGAAAGCTCCAATCAGATTTCAACCAATGAGTATATAATACATTTATCAACGATGCATCAATTGTCCACACATCTCTCTTCTTCTCCCTTGATGATCGTTTTTTGTTAAGATGCGTTCGAAGTGACCTCACACGGTTTGATAAACCAGTGCGAAATTGTTGGAAGTGTTCAGGCTAGGTCTCACCTTCCCCTACAGATGGATGTTTGACTATGCTAAAATAAATACTAACGCAAGCATACCACCAGAGCAAATACTTTCGAAATTATTTTATTGGAACATCGTTTTCAACTAACTCAACAACATTGAATAAATCTTCATCGTTTTCAACAACATTGAATAAATTCGAAAAGGCTCGGACCTAGAAATTAGCCAAAACTACCTCGATTAAATTTAAATGAAAAACAAATTGAAAAGCGGATTTATTTATTAGGTACAACAGTTCATTCTCCTCCTTACAAGCACTGGCAACGGTCTTTAACACAATTGCCTAAACGGTTAATCTCTCTGCACGTCTCAATACAAGCCGGATTTCGGCACTCTATAAAATTCGAAATAAACGGAAACATATTGAAAATAAAATAATTTGCAACATTTTCCTTGTTAACTTACGTTCTTTAAGAGAAAATCCGTTATAGTTTGCTGGAACATCTTGAGGAAGAGGTGATGGGATTCCAAATGAGCTTCCGAGTGACAATACCAGGAGAGCAAACGAAAAAAAAAACTTTGAAGTTCATTTTGTTAGTCGCACCGAATCCATTTCAAAAATAAATCAGTTTTCTTCTAAGACTTTTGACACAAGCTCTGTTCTTTGATGTGAACGACGCTTGGTCTTTTATATCCATGCCTTATAGATGTGAAAATTTGTGGAACAAATTAATGCTAGAATTTCCGGAGTTTTTTTTTTCTACATTCAAGATTATATCGAAATGGCGAATTATAAATCTTATTTCAATTATATTCCTGCCTTCCTTAATTAAGTGAAAATATTTCAATTAGTCCTGCACATGATAAGATGATTCAGATTGGTAAAGAAAGATCCAATCAGATTTAAACCAACGTGCATATACATTTATCAACGATGCATTGATCGTTCACACATCTCTCTTTTTTCCTCCCTTGATGACCGAAACAACTATCTTGGTCATTTTCCGATTTCCCTTGTTAGTGCCGTAGTTTAGATTCTGCGTTTCAGTTGAATACCCCAAATGGAGTTTCAAACGGAATTTAGATTTTATTGATTACTTGGAGTTGTGTTCAAGTGTGTCGATTGATTGTTTTATGGGCGTTTTGGGTATCATACTTGGAATAACGACGAGTTCAATCACATTGAATTGTTTGTTTGTTTACATTGATGGTGAATGACGTATGAAAATTTAGAATGAAAATAGCAGATACAATGTACTTTCTAAGTTTTTAAAATTGAAAAGCACACCTCTGCCAACCTGTTGTCCACAAGCCTACTCAGTGCGGATAAAGAATTCGTGTCATTATTCGTTTTTATTCCATTAAATATGGTTTTTCTTTCGATGTCATTTTTAATTCAATTAAAACCAAAATACACATCTCTCATCACATCGACTTTGTTTTTGTCGTTAACCAGACCGACCATATATCTTCAAAGCGCAACGTTGATAAATGACTTGTATTTGAAAAATTGCTACCAATAATCATTGAATCATGATCAACACCTAAATCATTCTTATTTTTTTCAGTTGCAACCACTTTACATATCCAATTGACCATTCATAAGTGTGCGAAACGATGGTTAGTGCGATTTTTTTTTGCGTTCAACAGGCATAAGAACAAAGATAACACACATATACACGAACCATTTACGCACTACTGTTGCAACTTGATTGATTAATTTAAAATCGATTTGACATCGTTCATCATTGATTTCCAACTGATGATGGGTGCATTTTGCGTTTTGTTTTTTTTCTCCTTCTTTTGAGTGCGCACCGCACGATTCGCATCGATGTAAACATGTACATGGCCATCATGTGTGTACCATTCAATTCGTAGTTCCAAATAAGCGTGTGAAGTACTGTCATCATGATGTGTTTTTTTTTTTGTTGTTATTGTTATCGTTGGTTTTGTGATTGCGATCAAAAATAGCATGCGATAAGATCTGTGTTGATGTTCATATAAGGCGCCTTCGTTTGCAAAGCTTCGTTGAACGTAAATCAATCGTTTGTTTTTCCTGCTCTTCAGTATTGAATATTTAAACAGTACAAATGTACGTTTCGGATAATTGTGCTGCTCAAAGCATCGGACCGGCCAATGGTAAGCATGCGAAGAAAAAATCGTGTAGAAAAGTTTTCAAAGCTTCAAATTGACACTTTACCAACTGATTTCCATCAATAGAACTATTTGGAATGTTAATCCAAACCATATTAGCCGCTCAATGTGCAATATCACCACCAGAACTGTGGCCAAAAGACTACGGACCAACTGCATTCGAAAATGGTAAAATGAAAACGTCGATTTTTGCACATTTCATTTGAGATGAAGAAGTTTTCCAAGATTTATTTGCATGTTTTTTATTTTAAAATTCACAGGAATACCGGAGCTGGATTATATTGTCGTTGGAGCTGGATCTGCAGGTGGATTTCTATTGATATTTATTCATTTTTTGTCATTATCACATACGTTTTCTTGCAGGTTCGGTAGTTGCTGCTCGGTTAAGTGAAGATCCGGAACAAAAAAATTTGCTTCTAGAAGCTGGTGCAGATCCACCGATAGAATCTGAAATCCCTAATCTTTTCTTCCTGTTGAATACGGCGAATTCAACTTCAAACTGGGGCTACTATGCCGAAAAGAGTGATGTCGCAAGTAAAAGTTTCGAGAAAGGTGTTCATTGGCCACGCGGTCGAGTTTTGGGTGGTTCACATAGTTTGTATTATTGAATTTCAATTTTAATTCACCTGAAATCGATTTGTTATTATTATGAAACTTCATTTTCATCAATAGGCTCCAATTCAATGGTATACGTTCGTGGTAGCGACAAAGATTTTAATCAGTGGGCAGCAGCCGGTAATCCCACGTGGGATTATGAAAGTGTGTTACTATTTTTTTAAAAATCTGAAGGAATGAAAGTGCCCTATGTCTTGCAAAATGAAGATGCTTTGCGCTATCACAATACCGATGGACCATTGAAAATTGATGTATATCATAGCAAAGACGTGATAAACGGTGTAGAAATAGAAGCGGCGCAGGAACTGGGTTACAAGTATCTATCGGATGTAAATGCAAATGAGACAATTGGTATTTTCCAGGTTCAGGGCACATTGAATGGCAATCGTCGTTGTTCCACGGCAAAAGCATTTTTGATACCTGCAAAAGATCGGCCGAATTTGTTTATTATAAAGAATGCGCACGTCACCAAAATGAATATTAACGAAAACAAACGTGTGACTGGAGTGCAATTTATCGTTGGCAATCGAAAGAAAGTAGCAAATGTTCGAAAAGAAGTGATTTTATCAGCGGGTGCTGTGAACACACCGCAAATATTGATGCTATCGGGAATTGGACCGAAAAAGCATTTGCAACAACATGAAATCGATGTGATTGCCGATCTACCTATTGGCAAAAATCTGCAAGATCATCCCGTGGTGGGTATACCGCTGGCGATAAAAAATCCAAATGATTCATTTGTCTATGACAATTCACTCTCGGATATGCTGTACAAGAACATAATGGGTGAATTTGGTCCGTCAGGAATTGGCTTGTTCGATTTGCTCGGATTCTACGATACAAAAGATAAAAATGGAAAATACCCCGACATCGAAACGCATCATGTTCATGTGGAGAAAAATAGTGAAAAAATGCTTCGTTCTTATATGCGTGGAATGCTGGGCTACCACGAAACCCTAACTCAGTCAATTATCGATGCAAATAAAGATGCGGCGCTCTTTTTCTGTCTCAACATATTGCTCAATACAAAATCGACGGGGGAAATTTTATTAAGAAGTACCGATCCATTTGATCATCCGATCATTCATGCCGGATATCTAACCGATGATGGTGATGAAGACTTAAAAACGTTGGTAAGAGCCATACGACTGATGCAAAAATTTATAAAAACCAAAGCATATCGCCGCCATCAAATTGAAGAGGTGCCTTTGGCCATTCCCGAATGCAATGCCATCGATGATCACAACAGCGATGAATATTACGAATGCATTGTGCGTCATATCATTTCGACACTTTTCCATCCAGCCGGAACAGCTAAAATGGGTAGAGACAGTGATCCGACCGCTGTCGTTGATTCACGCCTTCGTGTCAAAGGCATCACCAATTTAAGAGTTGCAGATGCCAGTGTTATGCCAGAAATTACAAGCGGAAATATCAATGCGCCCGTGATCATGATCGGTAAGTTCTGTTTGATTCTCATCATCTTCATCGTCTTAGTCATAAGCAATTGTGCACGTTTCACATTTTGTTGTTTTGCCTTGTCATCGATTCGGGCTTGAGCTGTGAACCAATGAAATGTTCACAAGTGACAGAATGGGCAAATTTAATGGAAATATTTTCGCCGCAATTTTCGAAATGTGGCAAAAGACGTTTATTTTATTCATTGGTTTGGTCCAAAGATTTATACTGATTAAACTCATCTTAATGGTGATTGTTTGCCAAAGTGATTGAGCAGAGAATCGAATAGAATATCGCTACAAAGACATCGTGAATAAGCTTTCTCATTAGATTTCACTGACCTTTCTCCCTATCTGTTGCTCTTAGAATGTGAACGTCACACTCTTATCTGAATTGATGTGATTGTTCCTTGGTGCTATTAAATTGATCACATTTTATATTGCCTATATATATATATATATCTGCTTTCTTCTCCAGGTGAAAAAGCGGCTCACTTCATAAAGGAAGATTGGTCAGATAAAAATCGTGACGAGCTATAGAACTGTTACAAAATTAATCTAATAAAAATGTCTGGTCGTTGCATTTCGTTAATAAAGAATTGCGCTCTCTTTAAACCTTTGTCGTTGTTTGTCTCTAATTTTACTCGTCTTTTTCCATCACTTCACAAGGAAGATAAGTAGATCAGCTAAAGGAATAAATAAAACAGTTAAACAAACGGAAAAGTTTTCTCTTGACGCTTTTGCTCCTCTCTCTCTCTCTCTCTCTCTCTCTCTCTCTCTCTCTCTCTTTCTCTTTCTCTTGAGCACAGATCCAAGCTAACGGTCATTTGCTGTGTAACGTAAGTGAAAACGCCTACTTTACCGTTACTGCACAAAGTGGGGGATCCATTGCACGAATAGACATAAACAAATCACATCATGAATGTAACTGCCTTTGCGACGTCAATTGTAAAGCCGTGTATATTTTTTTCTCTGTTCGCTGTGCGCGCACGTGAAGCAAAAGCAAATTGAATCATTTGTTCGTGTTTGATCCAATTGAATTCGTCGTCGTCGTGCGCAATGTTTTGTAAGCAGCAAGCAATTAAGCTGCGGTATTGACACTTTGTTAGAAAAGTGACTTTTGCTCGACTTGCGGGCTACTCTCATATCGGACTAATCGATTTAATTTTGACTATGTACAGTAACACTCACATGCATACAAATTCCATACATGCAAATCGCTCGAATTCACCTTCTGGCCACCTTTTGACTTTATTTATGACACTTTAAATTCGACATTTTTATTTGAATTTGATAGGAACAGTTCGAAACGAAAGCGAACAACAAAACCAAGTTTACAGCCAATAACAAATTGTATGAATATTTCTATTTATTATTGTTTCGTTGAATTTATTTCGATGTCTTGACCTGGAAAGTAGTTTCGACGAAAACGAAGAAAGAAAAAAAAAACATCGTTTCGCCATAGAATCGCACATAATGGCTGATGAAAGTTAAAAGCTACTTATCAATTTTGCTGCACTTTTTGAGCCGTATTTGGCCTCTCTCACATCACCATTGTCGCCGTTTGGCTTTTGGTTGATGAGCCTATTGAAATTGGCCAACCAGCATAAATGGCATCGCTTCGTTGTGCATTAATAAATTTTGAGCTATCGAATATATCGGTCGGTCGGTGGTAACGCATGCATCGTCAAAATGTTTTAATGCATTAAATCAATTCAATTTTCTCCGATATGATAAACCCAAAAATATTTCGTGCCTTCGTTTCGAATGAAAAAGAAAAAGATTCATCAAACTCTCTGTGCAGCTCAACTGTATTAATAAATCGTATAGATGTGTGTATATCTGGCGTGCATATTTTTGAAATGTGCTGTGATGACAGGTTGCGCATTTTCACTCGATTTTCCCATGTTTTTTTTTCAAAGAAATTGCGAAGAAGCAGGAAAGAAACACACACACAACACATCACATACAATGAATTTTCAATCAATAAAATAGTTTTAATGCGAATATATCGAACAAACGGAACGCTCGCTCGTTCGCTCGATCTTTGCCAATGCGAAATGGTCTTTGTGGCTTTGATAATTGACACAATGGCAAAAACACCACGCGCAGTAATCAATCTTTCAATATTCATTCATCAGATAAATATCAATTGAATGCGAGTGAATTTTTGCTGAATCCGTATTTACACAGGCTTACACGGCATTTAATTGCAAAAAGGAGAAAAATGACGAAAAAGAGCAGCAGCATCGACTTAGCAACGATGACGACGACGAAGGCGACAGTGCACACTGCAAACACAGACACGGTACTGGAGAAAAAGTAAGAGAGGGAGAGAGAGAGAGAGAGAGAGAGAGAGAGAGAGAGAGAGAAGGAGAAAGCGAGTGCGAGATGGAGACAGCAATCAATACATAATGTGTAAAAATCACATATGCGAGATAAGATTCATGCGAACAGTGGATAGAAGCACAAAAACATAAGCAAAACATTTTTAGTGTGTATCTCCGTTGTTGTTGATTTTTTTTTGTTTCGTTCGCTGTTTTTCGCTTCTTTTTCGTTCGTTTTGTGCTTCATCACTTGGCTTCGACTATTTCGCTTTAGTTTTCGTTGAATGACGGAAATACCTAACGAAGTCAATCAACCTAAGAAAAAAATTATTTCATCAATCTCAATTCACATATTTATATGTATCGTTCGATTGTTTAGCTACTGTAACTGTCGGTCGTCGAATGCGATTACTTCTTTTTCTCGATCTGACTATGCCCATCTCTCTACTGCTCTGGTCGTTCTTTCTCAGTCCATCAGTCCATCAGTCCATTAAATGCTTGAATCGTTAGTGAAATCGGGAATTCCACATGCAAAGTGAAAACAAAATAGTTGCGAGCTGGCTCAAGAGCCCCACCGACACAACAAACTCATCTATGTTTCCCATTATAACGGCCAATTTGAGTAATTTCCAAATAATGTTGTTGCTGCTGCTGCTTTTATTTTTCTTCATCTTTCATTTGTGGCTGCAATTTGAATTGAGACTTAGAGACGGGCAGCAAACGGTTAAATATCCAATCGGATTCATTTGTTGCATGAGATAAATGCAAATTCCTCACAAATCAACACCAATCCGTTCACTCCTCTTAATCACATTGAAATCGGCCAAACGGCACGACGTCCAAACACTATGAACATAAAATGAGATTCAAACGGCAACCAACACACAGACATTTCCAAATCGGTTGCAAAATATTAACGCAAATAATTTATAATAAGGGAATAAAATTGTACTGACACTGACGAGCGAATAGCTGAAGCGAGCTACAGTCTTTTATATTATGCACCACCCGTTGTGCGTTTGAAAATTTCGATGCGAATGAAGAAAAAAAAAATCACAGTCCGCGGCACACAGCACATTTTCATGCGTGTGAATTTTAGCGATTGATTCGGAATATTTTCGCGAGTGAACGCACGCGAGCGCGAGAATCATACAGAAACAACAGACAAAAAAACACACACACACATCGTACACAATAAACACACCAAACTCTATAGCATATTTGAGTCTAAGATCGCATGGTTCAAATTGAGCGGCCCCAAAGTGAGTGGCGATATTCGCGCGCAACTACAACATTATTTACCCAAAAACGTGAGGCGATTTTTGTGATCCATATAACGATCGAGAAAAAAATTATTTGGACTTGCCATTTGAATTTTAGATCAGTGCATTTCGGTCTTGCTCTGGCTGCCGTGTAAACTCAGTTTCGGTTAGTTTTTCTCTCTTTTCATTCCCATTGCGGATTATATTGCACCGATTATTTTGCACATGATCTGGCCTGCATGGCATTTTAAGACAAAAATAATTCAGTGTACGCAATGGAACACGGTAATTACATGTCGACTACTTCATCCACTCTCAATGAAGATACAGAAAAAACGCAGCCAATGAAAAAAAAAACAACAACACGAGACGAAAAAATCCAAGCACTCATTCGATTCAATAAAAATAGAGGCAAAAACGGTCCGAGTGTGAGCGGGAGAGAGAGGCTTACGTTAGATTTATTCCAATCGGTTTGGATCGATTTAAATTTATATTTGAAAATATTTGTGCATTTGCCATGGGAGCGCTTGAGCTGAGAGGGAGATGGAGCGAGAGACAAAGACGAGCACGGCTCGTCATTATATTGGCAATTGACGAAAGGACGGCCGTTTGTGCTGGTGCGTACATTTTAGTTGGCTTGTATGCGTTACATTGCAACGGCGCATCGATTTTTTCGTTGTTGTTATTGTAGCCATAGCTTTTTTTTACTTCTCATTACATTGCCTGACGGTTTCGTTTTGTTTTCTTTCTGTACTACATATATTCCACTAGTTATCGATGGTGCTGTTTTTTTGCGAACAGTCCGATGAGAGAATCTATTCGATGAGAGAACCAGAATATCATAATTACAATGGAATTTTTGTTGTTGTTGTTGTTGTTGTTGTTGCTGGGCTGTTTTTTTCAGTGCTATTATTATGTACAATTGTACATGGTGGATGAATGCTAAAAATTCGTTGCAAGAATAGCTGCAAAAATGCTTGGTGGTTATTGCTATTATTTCCTCGGTCTAGCTTGATTTGAACGCAGATCTCGTTTGGTTTTGTTTTTATTTTTCGTTTGTTCGTTCGTTCGAGCACACATTTTTCGTGCCGCCATATGTGTGTGTGTGTGTGCCCCTGTGTGTTGAGAGAGTAATAAATACGGAACAATTATCGATATACGATCGAATGCAACTCGTTTAATAAGATGAAGTTTGAACGCGGCAAAAATGTGGAGCACATGAAAGACGTGCAGCAAGCCGAAAAAAAAGATAGCATACACCAAACCATTTACTATTTATATATATATCGATATACATATTTTCGTTTTCTCTCTCTCTCTCTCTCTCCGTTCGGCTCAGAGAGATAAGAGTGCAATGTTTGAGTGGCAACTTTGGAATAGACAGTTTGCAGATTATGATAAACCGACACACAGAAATTCGACAGGCAAAGAGAAAACTTACGGTTCCATCGATATGCCAAAGAAGAATTGCAATGCGCGCCAACGTAGAGAAAATCGGAAAACGAGCACATCAATGCGATCATGCATCAAATGCGATGATGAATTTGGAAAATAGGTGCATGGAACAACACACTCGGCGCTCCGCGCAAGAGAAATATATGGAGAAAAAAGATGAAAACCCAGGCTCTGATGAAAACAATGATGTGCTCGCAATCGTTTGGAATGCCTTGAAAACTGAACATGCTGCACACTGCACATACACACACCACACGCTGGACTCCATTGCATCGCATTCAATTATATAGGCGAACATGCAACTTATAATAATAAAATTATATGTTGATAGATAGTGCCAGGAATAACATCAAATACGTGATCAATATATACCGAAAAAGGTGCATAACCGTCCGTACACATCGAACTGTAATTGAACTCATACTGCTGCACCATTTTTACTGGTGCGGCTTTTTCTTCTCTCTCTCTCTCTCTCTCTCTCTCTCTCTCTCTCTCTCTCCTTTTCTTTTGAACAGAGGAAAATTCAAGCCGTGTTCATTGCAAACAAATACACTCAGCCCAAAATGAAAGC